TGGCGGAACAGAGCGAGGCCTGGGTGAGATGGAGGGGTAAGGTCAGCCTGGCCTCACCCAGCAGGAGTTAAATGCTAACTTCAGGAGGTCATAAAACCACCGCGGCCATGGTGCTCAGGTCCCAGGGGACACCGAGCTGCCTTCCCCAGGAGGGCCTCGTGAGTTTGGCAGAAGTGGCTTGACTGCAGCCCAGGAGCCCCGTGACCCCAGGACCACAGTGTGCACCTCTGTGTGGTTTGGGATTGGTTGCCCCTTCTACCCTGCTGTAGGTGACCAGGCCCCCGGAACCCCGCCCTCGACCGGGACCGCTTCCTGCGCTGGCCATACTGTCTCCCTCTGTCTTTGCTGCTGCCCCCTGCCCCCCACCTGCAGCCCCCGGGGCAGCCGGCTAATTCAGACTGACTCAGGCAACCCTGCCCAACAGCCCCACCCTGGGTGTAAGCACGTCTGACGAGCTCCAGTCCACTGTGGTTCTAGTGCTCGCTAGGGCTCAGCCAGTCTGTCTGCTGGCTCCTGGGAGTCTCTCTGAGGTGGATCCTGGGCTCTTTCCTTAGAAGAACAGGAGGGACCATTAAGGAGAGAATTACTTGTACCATGAAGGTGAGGTGGGGTGGGAAAAGCTTGCATAATGTCTGTATGACCTGGAAATGCAGATGGTGTAGGAGCTAAAACAGGTGGAGAGAGGGGACAGTATGTGCCGACAAACGGCTCAACCTCCAGGGTATGCGTGTGAGGCATGGATGAAGCGAATGAGTGATGGTGGGGTGTTGTGGTTCTCCCGCGGGTGTCTTTGAGCTCACGATCCTGTGGAAAGGAGGGGACAAAATGCAGTTGGAAGAGGTTCATTGAACAGCTATAGCCTTGTATCAGAGCTGGGCGTGTGGGTGTGAACTCACAGGGATTTCTGTGTGCAGTTCCCAGCTCTGTTGACTGAGAAGGCCCAGAAACTATGACCTTCCCAGAGCAGCGAGCACCCCCAGACCCCAGGTTATGGTCCCTAAAGACCATCTCCTACCAGTAGGACCCAGGGCTTCCTGGAGATGTGGCTGGTCCCAGGCTGGCAAGTATACAGGATGGGCTTGGAACACCCTGTCACACCAGACAGTAGGGACACCACCAAGAATTCTAGAATTTGGCCACAGGTGGGGCATAAAGTGGCGGAAGTGTCTGGATACAATGTACATGATACAAACAAACAGGCTTTCTGCTCCAGCGATAAGCACCAAGAAATGGCATGTGAATAAATACTTCATTTACTATGGCAACAAAAACTAGCAGATTGGAACAGATAGGAGAGGCACAGGACCTGCGTGTAAGGAAGACGTCAAAATCGTGTCGAGTGCTCCGACGCCCACAGTCTGACTGAAGAGAGTGCAGACCCTGGGCTTAGCGACCTGCTGCCTCCCACGGGAAGGCCCCATTGTAACAAAGTCCTGTCTCCCCAGCTCTGCACAGCACACACTCTGGGTTTCTGGTGTGCACTTGAGTTCCCCTCCCTCGATGCTGCTGCTCTGTCCTGACCTGCTTCTTCCGCTGGAAGTGTTCTGTGGGACGTGTCTTGGCTCTCCACGGCTGCTGGGTCTCCCACTCTGAGCGTGGGGGGTGAGGACCTGCTGCTTGCTTTGGGCTCGTGGCCAGGGGGCCAGAGGGGTCTGAGGGGACAGGCTGCACCCTCCTACCCCTACCCAGGCAGGGCATGAACAGCCATTTTCTGCTTAGCAGTGGCCAATGTGAATCCACTTCCAAGTTTCAGTTTCGAGACAGTTTAGAGAGGTTCACTGAGGCCTGACTGTGGTCTCCCTGCTATCCGAGCATCACCCCCAACCCCAACAAAGGCACCAGGCTCTGCCTTTTCCTTCTCCCTCGTGCCTGTCCTTGGCTAGAATTCCTCTTCCTCCATTTGTCTGTCACACTCCTATGCACACTGTAAAGCCCTATGTAGAAGCCCCAGTCCAGTCGGGAAGCTCATTCCTGTGTCCACTGCAGATGCTAAGCTCTTTGAATCCAGGTGGGGCATCCGGTCCTCTCACACCTGTGACTTGACCTGCTGCGCTGAGAGGCTGTGAACCCATGTGGTGTAGCCCCCCTCCTCCTATCCAGCCCCCACCATGCCCTCTGTTCCCCTGCCAGAGGCCTTCTTGGTACCAGCTGCCCCTCTGCGAGCTGGAGCTGAGGGCTGGCTGCCCTGCCTGGCAGAGACTCAGGCCCCAGACTTAGTTTCCAAGGGATCCCTCTCTTGTCCCTTCTCCTTCTCCTTCTCCTTCTGCAACATGGGAAAGTCTGAGGCTCACCCTCTGACTTCAGATCTGCCTAGAGAGGGCCTGGGAAGCAGCTGAGTGGGGAAGGTGTTTTGGTGAGAAGGCTGTGAACCTTGGAACTGACCTGGGAAGGACAGTTGTGAAACCTTCCCAGGCATGTCCTGGAACAGGAGATTGGCACCTGCCCATCCTGGTGATGCCTGGTGACAGGGGCCTGGGCTGGGTGGCTTCTCCCAGGGTCACCTCTCAGAATCCTAGTTTCATGTTGTTATCGGCAGAGTCAAGGTGAAGACGTGCAGGTCTGTGTGGGTGCCTCTTGTCTCCAAGAACTCAAGGTGGGGAACTAACAGTGTGAATCAGTTTCCCTCTGAGTCATCAGTGCCACCTGTTGGTTGGACGGTGAGGCTGTGCAGGGCGTGGTGGGGGCAGGGAAGCGCAGAGGAGACCGCAGGCCTCAGGCTGTCTCAGGCAGAGGAAGACCCTGCCTTCCGGTCTGCAGGTGACAGGTGAGACTTGCAGCGGTAGTGCTGCCCCTCCCGAGTGAGAGGGTCTGGGTGGGTCTTCGCCCAGCAGCCACACAGCTGGTCTGCTCACTGGGAAATCAGGGCCAAGTACCCTGATGCAGATCTGTGCCCTTAGTGTACCTGGGCCACAGCAGGCGTTTATCAGTCAAATGCCAGAAGAACAGCTGCGGCCCTGAGGACGCTGGCTTTTCCAAAGCTCTGCAGCAGGCCCACAGGTGGCGAGCTGAGTCAGGTGGCACCGTGCTGCTGGCGGCTATGTCTGGGGCCAGCTAGCTTGTGATTCTTTGTGCAGAATCCAACATTGAGAAGTGCCTGCAGCCTGGGCACTGGGACCAAAGGGAGGCCTGACTTCTGGGTAGATCTGGGCTGTGAGGAACCCCTTGCTGCTGGCTGGGCCACCTGGGTCCTGGGCAACCAGCCAGGCCACATCTGAGATGGCCCTGTATTTCCTTCAGAGACGTGTCTGCCTCCACGGGCAAGCCCAGCTTGGGTCCAGGCTGCAGACCACCATTCTCACAGATTTGCATAAATATAGCTGAGGCCAACATCCACCACCTTCTGTGTGTCCTCCGCCCCCGCCCCACCACAGAGGCTGTAAACATTAAACAGTGCTTTCTCAGCACCCTCTTGCAGCTACGGGTGACCATGTAACCTATTTTGGCCAACAAGATGGAAGTGGACTTTTGCTAGAGTCTTCTAAAAGTCTCTTGGGTGCTTCATGTCTTGATGTCTGGAGCTTGGCAGCCATCTTGTGACTATGAGGCAACAAGTTTGGTGAGGAAGAGATGCCAATAACCTCAGTGGGGTGGGGCTGAGTCTTCCAGAACCAGCAGCTTCCCTCTCCAAACTTCTGGATTGGTGAGGAAAATCCACTGTTGTTTCTGATTAGGCCTGTGCTATGCATTTTTATGCTGATGTGCAAATGGGTGCCCTGGTCCCAGCAACTCCCTGAGCTGCAGACTCCTCTTCCAGCCACTGCCTGGTCTCTCTTGAGGGGGTCTCAGGACAGTTCACACTCAACAGATTTGCTGCCCCCACATCCAAACCTGTCTCGGCCCCTGCACCCCAAGCCAGCTCAAACTGGGAAGTCTGCAGTAGGGGAGGGAGCTGGGGAGGGGACCTCTCTGGACCCTGGGTGAGGGCAGAGGCCCTGAGGCTGGATGTGTGAGGAGTGGCTGGAAGGTGATGAGGGGAGGAGGCAGGTGGGGAGGGAGCTGCCGGGAGGACTTGCACTGTCCAGGGAGTGATGGGGAGGGTTTTAGCAGAGGAGACTTTTAAATTCAGGAGTTCAATCAAGGGTTTAATCAACCATGTTGGGCTTTCTCATAAGAGGGTCATTTGGGCTGCTGAGGGAGAGTGGACCACAGGGGCAGGGACACACATGAGGAGGACCAGGCGGCTGTGGGGCAGGAGTGGAGAAGAAGGAGGTGAGCAGATGTGGGTCAAGATAGTCGATAGGCAGACGGACACTTTGTGGGGCCATGAGGCCAGAGCAGGTGGAAGGTGCTGCGTCTGCTGCAAGGGGTGGGTTTTGGGGCCGGCGGGGAACCATGGTCTGGACCTTGGCAATGGCAATGCCTTTGGACCCCCTGTGGGGATTTGGGGCAGCCCAGGTAAGGGATGTAAGTTCGGGGCGGCCTGCACATGGGTGACATTTATGGCCAAGACTGCCTGGGGCTTCCTCTTCCTTTCCCAGGCCCACACCCCATAGTCCAAAGCGGCCCTCAGGGTAGAGGGGCGGGGGGCCCCTCATGCCCAATCCACTGCAGCTTCTTCATCTAGGGGATGGCAGGACATGGGGGGATCCCTATTTCACTGTGTGGGGCATCGCTTGTCCCAGCCCTGCCTCTTCCCTGATCTGGTCTCAGCGTCTCCCTTGGGTGTCCCAACCCAGAGACCATGGCCTGCACCCCACCTGCTAAGCTCCTGGCACCCAGGCAGCTCTGGGGGGCCCCTCCCCTCCCCTCCTTAGATGTGCCTGCCCCCGGGGTGGAGCTCGGGGGTCCCAGTCACAGCACAGTCTCCCAGGGGCCCTGTTCAGGGAGTTGCAGGCCCAGGTTTCATCCCCTCACTGCAGGGTGCCCACGGGCCAGTGCACGGCCGCTGTTGGAGACAAGCTGTTCCATGGATGATGGGGAGGTGGAGGGGGTAGGGGTGGGTGGCTCTGGCTCCTCCCGGGCCTCTGACTCGGGGGCTGAAGGGCTCCTCCTACCCACAGGTGCTTCCAGGCCATACTCCTCCTGGCCCTGACTGTGTTCCTGCTGGCCATCTTCCTGAATGTGGACATCAGGCTGCTCATGTCGTGAGTCCTGCATTGGGTGATCTGAGATCTGGGCTCTGCCCCCTCCCAGGGCAGCTGCAGGACCTCAGCCTGCCCACCTCCCAGTGGCACCCAGCACTGGCTGTGACTGTGGCAGGCCTCACATCCCTTCTGGGCACCAGACTCCCATCTATAAGAGGAGGGCTGGGCCCTTCCTTGTGGTCACCCAGCCTCCTGGGGGGCCTCCTGGTGACTCCCATGGCAATAAGCTGCCCAGGCCTCAGGGGAGGGCAACCTGAGGATGGGACCTGGGCCAGGCTAGGTTGGGTAGAGTTGCTGTGTGCAGAGGGTGACTGGGTGCTGGGAGGCAGGGCTGGGGAGGTCCAGACCTCTGTTCCCCTACTGGTTGGTGGTACGTCCTTTGTGAAGCCCAGGGTCCCTATGGATGGCCACCCAGGCCCAGTGCTTTAGCCTGCTTGCTGGGAGGGTCCTGGACCCCAGGTAACCTCCCCTACCCCTGGTTGGATCTCCACAGAAGAAGAGGGAATGCCAAAACCCCCTGGTATCTCTGCCTGTCCCCGAGGGTCCCTGGGGCTGGTGCAGGCCTCTGGACCCCATCCCTCACCATCCTGGGTCTCTCTTACCAGCCCTGTTTTGGGGCCCTGCATCAGGGTAGGGAGGGGGCCTGTTGCTCCAGGTTGGAGCCCACAGCTGGGTAGGCATCACTATGGGGTCACAGGAGTGGACACCTGTGGTCAGATCTGCCAGTCTTGGCATGAAAAGTCAGCCAAGAAACGATGGACATGTGGCCCCAGTTACAAGGCCAGAGCTATGCTGGGTGCCCTGGGAGCCGCAGTCATGAGGCAGAAGGGGTGCGAGGGCCTGGGATCCCAGCCTGCAGTGTGTGTGTGGCAGCTGGTGCCCCATGGAGGCCACAGTGGGTTTGTGCCAGTGTCCTCCAGGTTGCCAGGCTGGCGTATCCAGGTTAAGGGGAGCACAGTGGCTGGGCTGAGGTTGGGGTGTCACCAGGTCAGGGAGCGGGGGTTGGGGGTTCTTGGATTAGGGGAGCATGGTGATGGGAGAAGGCTTGAGGGCCCCCGGTTTGGGGGTTGCTGGGTTGGGATCTCTCCGGGTGGGGAAGTGCAGAAGGGGGCTCCCTCACTGATGGAGGCTGTGCTCTCCCCCCAGTTTCCTTGGGGACAAGGCTGAGGGGCCCCCCATCACCAACGTCATGTTCCTCAAGACACACAAGACAGCCAGCAGCACGGTGCTCAACATCCTCTTCCGCTTCGCCGAGACGCACAACCTGTCGGTGGCGCTGCCCGTGGGCTCCCAGTTCCACCTGGGCTACCCCTGGCTCTTCCTGGCGCGCTACGTGGAGGGTGTGGAGCCCAGCGGCCCCAAGCGGCACTTCAACATCATGTGCAACCACCTGCGGTTCAACCTGCCGGAGGTGCGGGGGGCGGGG